TTGTCTCATTTCTTCCCTACAGGCCTTGTCTCATTTCTTCCCTACAGCCCTGGGGAGAGCTCTCATCAGCCTGATGTCACAGACCTGAGATGGAGAAGGCTCTCAGCTAGTGAACTCCAAAACCTGCACTTGAATTTAGGCAGCCTGAGGTCAAGGACTGTACCCTTGAACTTTGGGCTAGACCACCCTTCCTTAGCAATTGTTTCTTTCTCTCTTTTTAGATGGGGATCTCACTAATTTTCCCAGGTTGGCCTTAAGCTCATGACTTGCAATCCTCCTGCTTCAACCTCCTGAGTAGCAGGGATTACAGGTGTGTGCCACTGCACCCAAATTCTGTTTTTTTTTTTCTCTTAATTGTTTTAACATTTATATCTTTTCTTATTAAATATTTTAAAGACTAAAGGGGGGAAAAGAATAAGAAATGTGGTACTAGCCCAATTATCAGCTTAGTATTGATAAGATAGTGCCTCACTTATAGTAGGTGCCTAAGAAATATTAAAGAAATAGACTGGGAATGTGAGCATGTGCTTAACAGTGGTAGAACATATATATGCTTAACATGTAGAGGCCCTGGGTTTGATGTACTGCAAAAACAGAAAAAAAATTAAATTGTTATTGTTTATTTTTATTCTACACACATTAACACTTTCCTTCCTAAGGATGCTTGCCCCTCTGGTCTTTGTCATGTGAAATCTATGGTACTTCCCATGTGGGTTTTCAGCTTTCCATCACTGTAACAAATACCTAAGGTAACCATCTTGTAAAGGTTCATTTTGGCTTATAGTTTTGGAGGTTCCAATCCATGCTCTGTTGGGGCCATTGCTTTGGGGCTTGTTATAAGGCTGCACATCATAGCAGGGAGTGTGTGGTAGAATAAAGCTGCTTGCCTCATGGCTGGGAAGCAAAAGAGAAGAGACTCAGGTCTCACAATCCAGTACTTAAAACACCTCCAACACTTGAAAACCTCCCATTAGGCCCCACCTCTTAGTGTTTCTACCACCTCCCGAAGCACCAAGCTGAGGGCCAAGCCTCTAACACAAGAGCTTTTGGAGGATATCCAGATTTAAATGATAGCACCATAGTATCCTCTGTGGTGTCCAGCCCAGGATCCTCACCTTTTGGAATTCTCCTTCTTGCCCTTTCCGGCCAGCTGGCCCTCTCATATGCACCCCTCATTTCACCATAAAGACTGGAACCTCCAGCTGACCCACCCTTCACACCAGCAGACTGGATACAAAGCATCTCTCTGGCTCATTTACCCATGGTTCATCCAGCTGCCTGGCCATTCAGGCCCATTGAAGGCAGGGCCTTCCCACTAACCTCCTAGGAAAGGAGGCACACAACTCTGCAATTCTTGGATTTCTATTCAGTGGCTGTGGGGGTTTCAAAGGAGATTTCAATCTTCAACTCCCTGCTGAGGCTGCACCCACTGAGGACTCAGGTATCCTCCAAGCCCTAGCTGCTATCACTGTCTCCTTGAACTTGACTTA